AGGACCCATCCCTCCTGGCAACATGTCCAAAGTATGTCAGGCGAAGCCCCAGAATCCTTGCCTCCAAGGAGCAGCTTGGTTTAATCCTCTCCAAGGTGAATCTGTTTGTTTTCCTGGCAGTCCATGGTACATTCAGTACTCTTCTCCAGCACCAGAGCTCAAAAGCATCCACTCTCCCTCTGTCCTCCCTAGTCATTGTCCAACTCTCTGATGCATAACAAGTGATTGCAAAGACCATGGCCTGTATCAGGCGCACCTTATACCCACCCAAAAGACACAAGTTAGAAGAGAGGTCAGATAAATCCTAAAAGGAGAATATAAAGCTCCTCTCAGGAGTTCTCCTCTAAGGGAGGTTCCCCTTCAGTCTCATTGCAGCTCAGTGAGATTGGGAGTCAGCAGGGGCCTGCTTCCTGCACGTCCTCAGGGACTCTGTCCTCCTGCAGAGAAGCGTGTGGGCCTGGAAAGCGCTCATGTGTCGGGGCCTGTCCTCCTCCTCCCAGAGCTGGGCACTGAGCTGCAGCGGAGCTGATGGGTGAGAGCGCGTCCCTGAGTTCATGCAGGAGAGCAAAGGGTCAGAGATCTCAGACAGGATGGAGAGGACACCAGACACGGGCTGTTCAGCAAACGGAGCTGAGAGCATCAGTTACCCGTCTGGAAACCTCCTAGCTTAGACCTCATTTCTACGTCACCTGTAGAAAGCACACTCCTGAGGTAAGCTGCTGTCCCTGCGAACCAGCCCCCACCTGACCTCACACACAATCAGCTGTGGTTGACTTGAAGATTGAAACGTAAGGAAAACAAGATCTCTCAGCCATCAGAAGACACTCAGTAGGAGAATGTGTAGGATTTTACACTCGGAAGATTTTTCCTCAGAAAGCACAAATTGTGAAAAGATGGTTCAATTCGACGTCAGTAAGGTGAGGACTTTTGTTCCTCTGAGGAGATTGCGGAAAGAAGAGCCGCCACGCGGAGGAGAACGTGCACTGAAGGTGCTCCCCGGGGTGCAGGAGAAGGGGTTCCTGCAGAGATGGGTGCGTCTTCAGGACCAGCAGCCTCCCCGCCACCCACACCATGAGCGTCAGCACAGCCACCCCTTCCAGGCTCACAGACACCTCGGAAAGCAGGCCCTCGCGGGAGCCGTCGCACCACCCAGAGCAGCGCTGTGGCATCGGCTGGAGGGAGGCTGTGACCTGCCGAGGAAAGGACAGCAGAGCTACACGTGTCAGCAGGACAGACAAGCCTCGGGAACTGCCCCCTCTGTAGACTGAACCAGCAGCCTGGACTTAATGCAGAAAAGCATCCCAGAAACCCCAAGTGAGCCAGGAACTCGGCCCGCGGCCCCTCGGCAGCTCCTGGTCAGCAGACGGTGGTCAGAGCTGGCCCAGAGGGCAGGGTGGGTGCACTTCCTCCCACGCCGTTCCCCCAGCCCTTCGGCTGCTGCACGGAAGTGTTTCTCGCTGAAGACGAAAGTCCAGTAGCTGAAAATCCTGCAGCGCCTGCCCTGGGCCACCTTCTGCTTCAGCAGAAATGAGAATGTCTCTGATGCTCTCAGTCAGTGTCATTCATGTCAATTTGAGTCCTGCTTTGTACGTTTGTGTCCTAAACACAGCCTGACATGCCTGAGCACCTTCCTCATTCACTTTTTTGAAACAGAATCTGCTGGTTGAAGATGACGAAGACTTCAGCACAGTCAGAGACGACATCGGAAAAGCCAGGCAGAGGCAGCTTGCCCAGGGGAAGAAGAGGTGAGGCCCCGGCTCAGCTCGCCATCCTGCCTGTAGCCTGTGGGGGTTCCCTGCAACTGAGGAATGCGGAGCTTGGGGGCTCTGAAGCTGCTTGGGGGAGCGGGGCAGTGCTGCAGGCCGTGTAGCCTGGTGTGCAGAGCACTTGCAGTGGGCTATGGAGTGGCGGGAGGAACGTGTACCCCACGTCGGAGCTCCCCAGCCTGTGTGCCCCATCTTCTGGACGTGCGCTCCCGCAAGCTGCCCCCCTTTCCTCCTCGTTTACGGAGTTCCTCCTCTGAGTGTCTGCTGGGGCTCATGCCCGTCCTCCAGCCACTCCGTGTCCGTCCCCCGGTCAGTGCAGGCCCACAAGCCCCCGTGTTCATGATGTCCCGGAGACCCTGGGATCATGACCACTTCCTTCAGTCTCGCCGAGCTTAGGGCTCCTCGGTCTGCCGGTCCCATGCAGCCCCCCCGCCCCAGCTGAGGTGGAGTGGCCGAGCGACAGGTGAAGGAGAATGGGGCTGGTGAGGATGCTGGATGCTGTGGTGTGTGAGCATGGAAAAACCTACAGTGTCCCTGCGTGAACGTAGAGTTCCCTGGTTCAGAATCTCAGGACCTAGAGCGGAGCAGCTTGGTGCTTGGTACGTAAGTGCCAAATGGGTCACGGTGGCCGTGAGTGAACACGTCAGCTGTGGTGCCGGCCTCCGTGGGAACGTGCTGTCCACGGTGGGGTGGGTGTGTGTGACGTCGAGCCTTCATGTAATAGGACGGAAAGGGGAGCATGAGGCAGAAAGAGGCACAGACCTCTGACAGCCCCCCCATAGCTCCTCACAGACGCCCTACAGCCCGAGGAGCCAGGCCACCGTGGGGCACTGGAAGCAAGCATGCCTGTGAGGGCTGCCTGGGGCAGGAAGGGCCCTCAGCGGACACAGCACGTGTGCACCGAGAGGGTCCCCTTGGGCACAGCTGCTGCCAGCAGGCCACGCCCAGTTCCAACCAGGTGGTAGGTGCACACGTGTTATAGTTCACCTAGTGCGGTGTGTTACGTGTTCAGCTGCTGACAGAAAGATCAGGAGTTCAAATCCCCCAGCTGCTCCATCTCCGCAGATTCCAGCAGAGGGCACAGGGGACTCCATGGCAGTGGGTTGTTTTCTCAGGAATAAGGCACTTCAACTTGAGTCTGTGCTGTGGAACACGATGTGCCCAGTACTTGGGGACCCACTGTGGGGCAGGGAGGCGGGTGGTGGACTGTTCCCTGTTGACATGGTTCTGGGAGGATTCTGTTCAGAAGGGCAGACACAGCCGTGTTCTGACGTGACCTCTAAGGTCTGCTGCCCCGTGTCCCCCACAGCCAAGAAGTCCAGCATGCCCAGAGCAGCGACCTGTTCTCGGAGAGCCCAGCCAGGCCTCGGGGACCAGAAGCCTCTCTCTCCATCCACGTGGGGAGCTTCAGATAGCCTTAGCCGCTGCCCGCCTCAAGGACGTGCCCCGGGCAGCACCTGGCCAAGGTCCCTGGAAGCTGGTGGCCTTGCTGATTCCCTGTCCTCAGCTTTCCGGCACTGACCACTGTTCTCAGGCCAGCACACGCACTTTCCACACTGTGCCAGCTGCACTGTTGCCAAGCCTCACGTGCCCGTCACAGCACTTTCCTGTGTTCTCTGTAAGGACGTGCACTGCCTTCACATGACTGGTCCCACGTGCGGAGACCACGCACATGCCGAGCCCTGACCGCGGTCTTCGACAGCTCTGTCGGGTCACTTGTCCACACGCTTGCTGGTGGCTCTCTGGTCTGATAACGTGGGCTCTCCTGTCACAGGAGGGACTCTGGCTGGTCCAACCTGTCCCATGCTCGCCCCTCCAAGGCTGGGTAGATGACTTAGAGCGGGCAGGAGGCTGGGATAGGGGCGGCCATGGGGGCAGCTCGTTGTCCAGGGTCAACGGTGTCCTGCAGCTCCATAAACAGAGGCCCCTCCGAATGGAAGTGACGAGACTGGCCCCTGACAGGTGACCCCGCTCAGTGAGCAGCCTTCATTGCAGACGGGCCCCTCGGCCCTGCCTCCCTCTCAGGACCACTGATTGCTGATGTGTGTGAGTCAGCGGTTACAGGTGGTCCAAGCCCTGTGCCCCTGCCCTCCGACCTGGCAGAAAGTGTCCCCGCCAGCCCCGTCCACCACGGGCCACAGCCTCGAGTCCCGGGTGTCAGCGCTAGGCGCTGGTTTCACCTGGAGCTGCTTTGTAAGAAACTGGACTTTGACAGCACGCTGCCCTCGGGCTTGCAGACACTGACTGCCTCACGAGGTGGCCGGGCTCCCCTCCATGTGTCAGTGTCCCTTTGCCTCCCGCCCGAGCCTCACTGACCGCCTGACAGCCCCCTCAGTGACCATGTTCCTGTAACACCAAAAGGCTTTGCTTTGAGAAGACCTAGGTCTCCCTGAAACGACACAGACGGTGCCTTGGAGCCATGGGCCCTGGGAGCCTTGGCCCTGCCAGCTCACTTTTGTTTTGGTTTCGTTTTTAAATTCAGAAATGGAATGGGGCCTCCAGGGAAAGAACCAAGATTTTGTAAAAGAAAAAAAATAAACCGTTTTTGAAGTTTTAGCCTTTGGTTTCTACTTTATGCTGTTTCACGAGTTTTAAGAATTCATACTGGTTTAAGAGCAGAAACCTCTCTGGACTTTGTCCCCCCCCCCCCCCCCAGCAGAATCCCCATGGGATGTTCCCTTGCAGTGTGGCTGCAGTGATAAAAGCATGATTGGGTTTAAATAAATCAGTCTCACGGGGAAACCTACTGGAAGGAATCGTGCTGTTCCTGCCTTCTAAGGCTGTGCTGGGTGAGCTGACAAAAGCACTCATCACACTGCAACAGGTTTTTCTAACACAAATAAGGTAGGTGACAAGTTAGGGATCCACTTCTGAAGAGGATGCAGGCAGCTTAGCTCGGTCTCTCTGCCATCCCAGCACGGCCAGGACACAGGCCCGAGGTCAGTGCGAGCTGCCTGGGTGCTGCACTACAAGGTCGCTGACACTCAAGGGCTGTGTCATTCCTGGGTGTCACCCACCAGATGTGGCCCAGCTGCACCACCCAGAGGTCATGGCAAGTGACGAGACCCAGGTGGCAAATCCTGGCTCCTGAAACTGGAGCTTGGGGTTCAGAGTGGACACCTGTCCTGCCACCTCCTGAGGGGGTGCCACCACCTTAAGCATGCCAGCCCCCCAGGGGAGCCCAGAGCTGACCTCAGCTCTGCTATCGACCTGCCCCTGCCAGGAGAGGGCCCAAAGGGTCACCAGCCCACCCACCACCCCTGCACATCTTCACAGGCCGAGGGACACGGTCCTGGCCTCCCGAGTCCTCCCCAAAGGGCAGTTTGGTGTCCACCTAGCCTGTGCCCAGGCCCGATCTCTGGCAGGTGGGCCCTCCTGGTCAGCACCTGCGCTGGCCGAATGAGAGTGTTAAATCCCACCAGAGACGAAGGACAAGGATGGGGTGAGTGGTGGGTGCAGGACCGCTCTGCTGAGCAGAAGGCGCCTCACTGGCCACCCCAGCGCATCTGGAACTGAGTCACCCAGCCCTCCACCAGCCTGCGGTTTTGCTGGTGACGGTCCTGGAACTGGGTGACACATGGCTGTGCTCCCGTCAGCAGCAACCCCAAGGCCAAAGTCGTCCCTCCCAGCAGTCCTGGACGCTCTTCGTGAGCTGGCAGCACTGTGGTGGGACTGACCCCCATCAGGCTCCCTACTCGCCCTCCCCAGCTCCACGTGCCCCTCACTACCACCCCAGTGGCCCCCACGGGGAGCTGCTGGAGAGGCCAACCCTTCCCAGGCCCACTCAGCTCTCCTTCACCCACGACGGTCCTGACTTGGGTACAGAGCCTGCCCCTTCCCCTCTGGCTCTGCCCCTCACACCCCACCACCTGCCACAGCTCAGAGCTGCACCTGAAGAACAGTGGCCGCCTGCCTACCTTGGACTCGGCATTCCTCACTCCTTGTTAGGGGAGCTGGAAAGCGACCCCGGCAGGCAAGACAAGAATGACAGACGGCGGGGAAGACGCAGGTCCGAAACAGGTGTGTTTATTCACAGCAAGGACTTCTGTACAACATCCGATCAGACTATGTACATAACATACAAGGGGCATCTCTCTCACAGGGTATAAATTAAGATTATAAATACAGGGGAAGGGCCCCCAGAGGGCACGAAGCCTCAGGCCAGGCCTCGGGTCACAGCCCAGCAGGCCCAGGGTGGTCACACAGCACCCATCACTCCTCAAACCTAAGGGGACTGCAGGTCACTACAGGCATCCGCAGATGCCAGCTTTAATCACTGACGACTAATAACAATACAGACTGGAGCTGAGCTCCCGGGACAGACACTGGGGACCGGGGACCCCGGATGCTGCCCTACCCTGCAGGGTGGCTGCTCCTCGGGGCCTGTCCACTCCTCCTTCCCAAGCTGGGGAAGCACGTTTCTGAGAGACTCCTCCCAGAATGCCTGGAGCCCAGGCACAGACAGGCCACCGTGTCCCCACCCCACATCCCTTCTAGAAGCCACCAAGGCCCTGCTGGCCAGGACAAGGGTGCGTTTTCATTAGTCCTAAAGCCCCATCCTGCGGGCCGGGGAGGTCCTGGGTTTGGGGCTGGTGGCAGGACTCAGCACGGCCCTGGGGTGAGGGACACCCCTCTTGAGCCTCTGCCCCCCACCCCCGGACCTGACCTCTTGGAGGACACCCCGACCCGAGCAGGGAGCCGAGCTCTCCTAGCGCCATGGCTCAGGGCAGAGCACCACAGCCAGGGCCAGGCCCTCAAGGGGCATCGCCCAGGGGCCCTGGTGGACGGGGGACTCAGATGGGCAGGGCTCTCTGTGGGGAAACACTCCCCAGAACGTACTCTCTGAGGTGTAAGCATGTCTGGAAGGGACAAAAGAGGCCCAGAGGTCACTGGCCATTCCCAAGACTCTGCCCCCCACAGCCAAAAAGTCCCAGCGTGGAACTCCCCTTCCGGCCCAGGGGTTCAGTTCTCATGACCACTGCGGCTGGAGCAGAGGGGGACGCAGGCACGTGGGGGCCATGAAGTGGGTGTCCCCTCTGAGGCACTAGATGTGGACACGTCCCCCTGCCCCCCAGTGACTCAAGACAGCCCCCCCACCCCCGGACGCAACCCGCGCGCACTCAGAGGGAGGTCCCTGGCCAGTGCGCCCTCTCCGGATGGGGCGCCTGGACCGAGGGGCCGTCCCACGAGGGGCCGCCCCCCGCGCCCCGGCCGGTAGCACCATGGCGTCAGTGGCGCGCGCGCACGCAGCTCAGCGCCGTCGCTAGGCCTCGGCGGCCCGGCCGAGCTCCCTGATGCCGCAGAGGATCCGCTTCATGTGGCCCACCTTGGTGACGCCCAGGTCCTGCGGGAGAGAGGACAGTGGTGGGTGCGGGCGCAGGGCGGGGACAGCGCGCAGCATGGCGAGGGCGCGCAGATGGGGCCGCTGTCCAGGGCACCCAGAGGGGCCTGTCACCTTTCTGGGCCCAAACCAGGTTCGGCCCGAATGTCACAGACAAGCGGGAAGGTGGTTCCCCCAAAAATGACTGATGCCTGGGCGCCTGCGCAGTGGCCTGGCGGTCACCAGCGCGAGGGGCTGTCACCAAGGCCACCTGTCTGGCCACTGAACTGCCCACCCTCTCTCCCGGACTCATCTTGGCACTCGCCTCGACACTTAAACGGCACCCCAAATTCGGCACTCACTGTCACTCGGGCAGAACGACCGAGAACCGGGTCACAGCCCCCCGGGAGGCCCGGAGCTGGACCTTCTGAGCGCGGAGCGACCACCAAGACCGAGCGCAGCTGCCCGGACCCGGGGGCGACTGCACAGCCCCTCGGCCTGGCTGAGGCTGCGACCCGCATCTTCGGCTTGACCAGTCTAGGGGAGGTTCCCCCCAAGTGGGGATGTTCCTAACTAGGCAGGGCTCCGCGGTGGGGCTGCCCACCCCAAGGCAGCGCCTAACCGGCAGTTCGAATCCACCAGCGAGCGGTTCTGCAGGACTGACCACCCCCAAACCCTGGAGGGTCGCTTCCACTCGATGGCAGTGGCTTTGAACTTGACACCCGTCGTGCGGACTCCGTGCCCGCTGCTGCCTGGGCCTGGCACCGCGCACCCTGCCCGTCTGCACCGGCCACACTGTGCGCAGTGTCCGCCCGCGCGTCCATGCGAGGCCGAGGGCAGGCCCTTCTCTCCCACGTGTGCAGAAAGCGGGAAGCAGGGCCACATGCCAGGCCAGGGCCGCCCGCGGGGCGCAGCAGCGGGGACAGGGCCCTCGGGAGGTGGCTGTCATGTACCTTGAGGTCCCTCCGCTCCAGGTGCAGGAGCTCAGAGCCCCGGATGTCATGGCGTGTGAAGATGTCCTTATACTCAGAGAGACTGAGGTGCTCCAGCCAGGCAGCCACCTCCTCTGTCCCCCAGAGGTGCACTGTCAGGGACGGAAAGCGGAGCGGTGAGTGTGCGCACCCGCCACCCAGGGCGACAGGAGGCAGAGTGCAGCGGGCGGGCAGCGGCGGGGCCATCCTGCCAGGCTGGTCACCGGCTTTCAGCAAGGACATTCCCAACACTGAGGGGTGAAGGCCCAAACACGGGCCGTGTCGCCTGGCCACAGTGTCGGCTAGCAGGAGTGACCAGACCTGGCAGGAGGTGACATGCAGGGTGTGGATTCACGTGATTGGCCACAATCAGGTACACCCCGATTTCCTGTCACCCATGCGCGAAAATCCCAGAGCCTGTCCTGAGAGGCGGCCTTCGACACCCACACCTCCGAGTGAGACTGAAGCACCGATTTACTGGCACAGGACAGCGCTGCCCACAATCACAGGCGGCCTCGGGCCCAGGCAGATCAACGAATGCATTGATTGTACAGTGGCCCCAGCGACAGGTGCTGACAGGCGGCCTGGCTCTGGAGTGTGTGAGAGTGTGTGTCTATGTGTGCGTGTACATACACAAGGCTGTCAGTCACCTTTGTCCCCACCCCAGCACTGCACCCCGAGTCCTGGGCAGGAGGACCCACGGGACCCTCATCCTGACATCCTCCTGGTCAGCAAGACCAGGGCTGAGTGTGGCAGACAGGGCAGGAAGGTCTGGGGCTACAGAGCTTCGAGTGGCTGGAGTGAGTGGAGAAGGGGACAGGGTGGGTGCAGGGTGGAGGAGGGGGAAGACTCCGGCAGAGGAGTCAGGGTGGCCGGCGGGAGGTGGCGGGAGGTGGCAGGTACCCGGGGCTCCCAGGCTGCAACGGGCGGCTTTGTTCTTGTTGTTCTTCTCCTTCTTGAACTTGGTCACCAGGCGGAACTTGCCGCTGCGGCTGCGTTTGGAAAGATCCAGCATCACACCCTGTGGGAGGGGGAAGGGAGAAGTCACCGGAGGATCTCTGAGCTGGGGGCCTGCCCGGGGTCCCGGCTGGATGCTGGGCCGCAGAGGCCTGCTCTGGTAAAGCAGCAGAAATCTCTCACCCTTTATTTAGTCTCAATTTTTATTCATGTACCCTTGGTTTTCCATGCTTTTTAAAAAGTAGTGATGATGCAATATCCATTTTTTTTGTTCCCTTTATAAAACATGCACATTTCTTATGAGATCAAAGCAATTTGTAGACGTCATTTAAATATCAGTATCCTCTACCCATACTTCCTGTGGTTCGAGTCCCCCAGCAGTCCAAGTAAAATCAGGTTACCTGCGTCTGTTACAGGGAGAACGCCCAATACCCCTTGGCCTGACTCTGCTTTCCATGATAGGCTCAGCTGTTTACCTAACAGTCTACTTCTGGTTGTAACGGGTTTGGTTATCTTAATTAAGAAAAGAATTCTTTCAGACCTTACAGATGCACATTTCCCTAACGTTTAACCAAACCCCTAACCTGTCCAGGAACTCTGACGCTGGAGAAAGCACCTCTCACCTGGACGAAGCTGCTCTTCATGCCAAGTGGTCCCTCCACGCACGACCACACTCTACAGACGCCCTGACCTCACAACCAGCAGATCTGCGTGGCCGCAGCAAAGAGCCTGCTCAACTGGGTGGCACCTGGCTGCCACTAACACCAGTCCATGAGGTCTAGGTTCTGCAAGACGTATGAGCAACTACACGAAGGTTCAACAAGACGCCCAAGCCGCAGATGGCCACGGGGGGAGCGCCACAGAGACCCGCAATCAACGGGAACCGAGGCAGGCTGAGCTGCTCCGCTCCGCCTGCCTGGAAAGGGCTCACCTGGGTCCGAGACAAACCTCCATCCTTTATTTAAAAGTAAACATTAGCTTATCCTGCATGTCTGGAGTTCCAGGAATGCTCTCAAAACGGACCCTGGGTTAGGAGTGGAGAAGCCAAGGGTGTGGATTATTTGAGAAAACTAAGGGACCCTTGTGAGGAAATGTTTAGCATCATGGTCCTGGGCAAAGCCTTGCTCAGCGCATACGGAGCTACTTCTGACAATCGCTCACGAGCTGGGCTCCAAGACACAGCTCGTAGGAAATAGACTCGCTCCCTTACAAACTGTAACTGCCACTGCCTGCACGTAATCTGCTGATAACGTCCTGGAGGACAAGGTCGCCTCTTCTCACAATGCTGGACTCTATGGCCTCCAGGTCTCCACCTGCAGCTGTAACTATTTCCCAGCAAGCCTCTTTGTCTTACTCCTGACATCGTACTAGAATTTTCTACATTATTCAAGGAAGTGACTTATTTTACAGGTTTCTTAAACTAGGTACACTTTACTTCTAATTCTAACCTTTATTTCCTTCAACACCTCATCAACTTCACTTACTGTGTTTTCTTTTCAAAAAAGGTACAACTGCCCGGGGGGAAGTGTCTGCTGAGCTGCGCCCCCAGCCTGCCCCTCGGAGGCTCCGGCAGGAGGGGGATGTCTCTCACATAACTCAGAAATCTTGTTCATTATTTTAATAACTTGTTTTGATTTCCATTTCTTTTCAATTCACATACAGTAGTTACGCACATTCCTAACTTTTAATGTAACTGTTATCCCTTCCTAGCGTGACAGTGAAGCTGGGTTATAAATATTTTCTCGATCTTAGTTCTCCTACTGTTCTTTTTTTTTGGTGCATGGTGAAATATACCATTGTACTAACACAACTAATGGAAGTGCTGTCCACTATCCTGCAAACCACACAACCCACTTACATACTACATGAGTATGCATCACTTAGACAAGTGTATAGTGTGGGGCCTCTGGTGGCTGCCAACACAAAGGTACAAGGTTCAGATCTACCACCTGCTCCATGGGAGACCACGGACAGTCTCCTTCATGTGCAAGTTGCTTGCCTGTGAAACGTGCTGGGGGGTCAGCCGGGGCCCGTTCTGACTCCACAGGACACGACAAAAACACAGTCTGGCAGCTGCAGAGGGGAGTGAAAACCCCAAACCCAAAGTACAATGACGTGACGTGAACTCCGCTCCGGGGACGCAGTGTGAGCAGAGCCGTGCTGCAAACACCAAGGTGGTGCGTCCCTGGCGGTCGGATCCTCCAGCAGCTTTGCAGGAGATCAGGGATCTCTCCATGCAATTGACAGCCTCTGGCAAAGCGAGGGGCGGCCGCGGGACGGGCAGCCAGGGGTCGGTTCTGACTTGCCAGCCGTGAGTGAGAGCAAAGCTTGTGCTATTTCAGCCATTTTTATAAGCCCCGTCCAGTGACACTGACCGCTTTCCGTGGACAATGCCTTCTGTTTCCAGGCTCCTCATTTTGAGCAGGGGTTCAGCATCCCTAAACACAACCACCCCCCACCCACCCCGTTTCTCCTCCCACCTGCCTCTGGTCACCACTAGTGCCTTGCGGTCTGCATGCATTCGGCCGTTTTGGCGATTTCACCTAAGTGAGATTATACAATTATCCTCGCGTGTCTGGCTCATTTCACTGAGAACAAAGTTCTTCAGGGTCACCTGCCACAGCAGGTGTTAGAAGCTCACTTCTCTTTACGGCTCAGTAACAGCCCGTCGTGTGGGGAGATCACGTGTTACTTCTCCACTCACCAGTAATGGACACGTGCCTGTTCATGGGAATAAGCTGGAACGGACAAGTGTCTTAGATGTGTCCCTCGGAGCGTAACTGCCGCGTCCTGGAGTTTAACATTTTGAGGAACCATCACGCTGATTTCCACAGCAGCTGGACCATTTTACAGTCCGGCCAGCAGCAGGTGAGGGCTCCAATTTCTCCATAACAACACTTTTTCATTTCCATTTCTCTGGTAACAGCCATCCTAGTGGTATTCTACCTCCTTTTAAAAATCAAGCTCAGACATCAAATTACTCCACTCTTAAATACTCCACTCTCACAGGCAACTCCAAGGATACTCAAACTCGGACACAGTGCTGCACTGGACCTGAGTCACAGCAGATCTCCCAGGGGTTTTCAGAGGATCCTCACCCAGGACGGGCCGTCCAGCTTCCTCCCTCAGGCCTGCGGGGGACTTGAACACCTTCATGCGGGCAGCACAGCTCCCACCCCAGCAGACCACCAGCTCTGCCGTCACAATGAGAATTCCCTTCAAAAACGCCAGCGCCGTGACAGAACCACGACTCACTGCCTCATCGCTCCCTCCGCTCTGCCAGCGCCCTCTCCCAGCTGCCGCATTGGCTACTGGCTCTTCCTCGCTCACTCCTTTCCTTCCATTCCTAAAAAACGCTGCCTGTCCTCTGGACGGCCTCCCACTGCGGCTCTGACAGCTGCATCCCTGCACGTGGCCCCTGGGGCTCCCACGGTCAGCAGCTCTCGGGCCTGGTCGGGCCCAGGTTCCCACAGTGACCCTGAATCATGAGCCTCTGCCCACTGCTCTCTGTTAGGAGCCAGGCAAGTATCCAATCTGTGTATTCAGCCTGTCACCCTGCGTCTAACAGCGCTCCACCACAGACGACATCTGCTTAAATCTGCTTCATTTAAAAAACACCGCCTCCTGGCAGACTCTGTGTTCATCAGTGTAGACCTGCGCCCCACAGGGTTTCAGTGGGTGAGTTTTCAGAAAAAGTTCCCTGGGTGAACTTGAACTTCTGCCCTTTCAGTCAGCAGTCAGGTGTGTTGTGTGTGTGTGTGTGAGAGAGAGAGAGAGAGAGAGAGAGAGTGTTTACAAAGGACTATCAGTGTTTGACTCAATGACTCGTACACACTAACATGAATTACATTACCCAGAATGTCTGGTGCCCACTATGTGAGTGTCCTGAAGTTACTGAATTTTGATCTGGGCACCCACAACATCTGTTCTCGTTTTCAGGACAGCAGTGGTCCCATCCCCACCTTCTCCCTCCTGTCGTGAAGCTCCTGTGCATGGGAGGATCTCTGAAGAAAGAGTCTGAATTTGAATCGAGAGTTATATTTAAAATCAGAATGTTTCTAATCGTAAGCACTGTAACTTTCAGACTGAGACACAGTGTTACAGAATCCGAGGTGCCCGCTGTGAAGGATGAAAGGGAAATGGTCATCTCTCTCCAGCCTGTACACTATTTCTAGTGAAGAAATCATTTAGACTCTGCAGTGTCTCCCTTGGAAGGAATTCACAGAGCATTCTGCACTCTGTTCAGTGACTTAGGGATCTTTGACAAATGTCTTTACGGCTTACATTTCTGTAATTAGCAATTTCTCTGAAATTCAACAGTTCCATAAATGTACACGTTTCTGTGTACACGGTACCCTCTGTGTACACGGTACCTTCTCTGTGTACACGGTACCTTGATATGACTTTCTGTAACAAGATTCTACCCTTGACCGTGTCACTTCGTTCTGCTCATTTTCCCCTTGACCGTACTTGTCAGCAGGGGTCTGACGGACTTTCACTGCCTTCAGGTCTGGACGCTGATGGACGTTCTGTCCTCGCCCTGCCCTGAAGGCCTCTTTCCTTTTTGTGCTCGTCCTCTCCCCTTCCCTTGGGGGGGAATCTGGTAGCCTAGTGCTAAGAACTTGCACTGTGAACCCTAAGGCAGGCGGTTCAAATTCATCATCTGCTCTGAGGGAGAAAGATGGACAATCACCTCTCGTGTCATTTCCTGTGTCTGAAAACCCACTGGAGGGTCTGCTATGGGTCGGTTCTGACTCGATGGCACACAACAATAACCTCCCTGCAGGGGTGCGGGGGGCAGGAAGGCCACTATGTCTCCAGAATCTTCGGTGAGTTACTTCCAGGACCCTCAGCTGACGCCCACCTGCAGGGTCCTGACCAGCTCTCCCCACTTTCCTGGGGGTTAGACACACGGACCGGGGTCGTGAGTGAGAGAAGACACGCGTATGTGTGCACTGGAGACTGGCCGGCCTCAGAGGGCCTCTCACACACACTGAGACTTTTTAAATGGTTTTAAAGCAAGTTGTTACCAAGTTCTGTGCGGCCCCCACGCACTTCCCTCATGAGTGAGAGCGAGCTCATCTCCCAGCAGGTTTTCAGAGGCTACAAAGCGCACGGGAGGACACTGCCCACCTTTCTCCTACACAGCAGCTGGTGGATTCGAACTACAAGTCTGTGAGTTGGTAGCACAACCACCTGCACACTAGGCCACCTGAACTCCCTACGGAGAGAGACAAAGGCTGCTTGATCTTCTTTCTCTAGAGAATCCGGCCTGCCACAGGGCCAGGTGTCTAACTCCTATGAGGCTGGAAGGTCTGGAAGACCTGGGAGACCTTTCAGGTCTGCAGCCTTCACTCATGCCTCAGGCCCACGTGAGAGTCAGTTCAACCACAGCAGTTCAGAGAGAGATGTGTGCACGTGTGTGTGCACGTGTGTGTGCACGTGTGTGTGCACGTGTGCTTCTATGGGTGACAGAGAGAACGCTACACAGAGTACGGACATGTGTATGTGAGAGAAAATTCTGACAATGTGTGTGAGTGAGCACGTGCTCAGGAAGTGGGAGCCACGCGTGGTGGTCTGCGCGTGTGTGGCAGCTGCACACAACCTGGAGATAATCTGCTTTTAAAACTTTTTAAATTAAAAGTGTTTCAGTCACAGTATATGTGACAGTCAAAGCCTTTGTGGACCCTCAGTCTACTGTCCACCTTCTCTCTCAGCAGGCTGTACACCCCCGCCATCGGACATCCACCACCTCTCAGCTGGCTTTGTGCCGCTGCCATCAGACAGCCTTCACTCTCCTCTCCAGGCTGGGTGTCCCCGCCATCGGACATCCACCGCCTCTCAGCAGGCTGCGCCCCTCCACCATCAGACACCCTCCACTCTCACAGCAGGCTGGCTGCCCCAGCCGTCAGGCAGTCCACCAGGGAGGGGGCTTCTCCAGGCCTCATGCTGCCCTGGCCTCACTGTCTGAGCCACTGACTGTCCCCCTGCTCAGTTTCCTATCGCCTCTGGTCCTCTGAAGTCACTCCTACTCCTGGGGAGAGCAAGGCAGGGGAGTGCGGGGCCGCTGCTCCGAGTCACACACCTCATCCTCCCCGGGCTCCGGGGACGGGCACAGCCAGGGCGTGTCTGCCAGCTTCCCGAGCTGCAGGTCCATCTCGGCCAGGGCCGCTGCCAGCCGCTCCTTCTGTGGGGGTTCCAACTGCTGCTCAGGAGAGGGGAGAAGAGCACACCTGGTGGGTGGGGCCCCGGCTGCTAAACACGGAGGCTCGCCTGGGACAGAGCATCTGGGAAAGCGAGTCACAGAGCAGCACCTGGGGCTGTTCACATGCACCCAGGGCAGGTAGAACGGGAAGGTGCTGCTGAAACCCTTCCCATGGCAGCGATGCGCTGAACAAGGGGCAGAGTGTGGAGACCTCATTTAGGCACCGACCGGCTCCGGGCAGTGTCCACTGCTCGAGCATCAGCTCGCCGGGCTCTGCCTGTGAGCGCTGGGTGAGCCTGGCCGCACCGGGGCTGATGGGCGGGGAGTCGTGGCGGTGGGTGCGGAGAGGACAGGCACAGTGTACTACCAGGGACACCGTCACCCACAGGGTCAAGGAAGTGAGGACTGCTGAGGGCTTCCGGCACATCTGAAACGGCCTGGCTGCCCACTGAGCAGTGTGACCGGGCAGTTGCTCCCTCCATCCCCCCAGAACTCCCCGGGACACCTCCACAGGCCGGGGCCCCGCCACGCAGCGTGAGGGCGGCCGTCGTACCAGGGCCACCTTGCCGGCCAGCAGCAGCTCCGTCTCGCTCCGCAGGGCCCTCACGTTGCTCACCATGTCCAGAATGAAGCTGCAGTTCAGCCCCTGTGAGGACACGACACAGGGTGGGCACAGGGCCGCCGGGCTGCCAGCTCGGCTGGGGGCACTGCCCACAGAGAGAAGGGGGCCAGAGTCAGTTACCTCTGTGGCGCGAGGCTTGCCGTAAACACGGTCCATGGCCTTGGAGCTGGCGTTGACGGCGTGGGCGAGCTCCTGCTCCATGTCCCGGTAGGACTGCGCGATCTCCCGGATGCTGGGGACAGGAGGCCCCGCGCTCAGACAGCGGCCGGAGGGCGGGGCCCAGCACACCCCCTAACCAGCACGGGGGTCCCCGCAGAACCAGCGCGGAGACCCACTCTGTCCAGAAAGACCCTGCTGAGACACCCCAAACGAGATACACGGCCCGTGGGGCAGCGAGTGGTCTGGGGCCCAACCACAGGGGCCTTGCTGCAAAGGGACTGAAAATGCCCAATGCTGCCTCAGAGCCCCCGCGAGACAGGAGACACCCCCGGGTGTGCACGGCTGCAATGTGTCTGCACGGTGATACACTGCTGCCCAGTTCTCGGGGTGCCAGTCTTCACAACCAAGAACCATGGCAACACCAGGGTGCCACAAAGGGGGCAGAGATCCCACAGACCACCCCCAAGGGGCCCGGAGCAGCCACGCCTGGCCACTCTGTGTCAGGGATGACGGAGCCCCTCTGGATGAAGAGACTCATAATCCACTCGGCACAGCCCCACCTGTGGATGAGGGCCCCCCGCCATGCGACCCACACCCTCAGGGCGGCCCACCTGTGGATGAGGGCCCCTGCCGTGCGACCCCCACCCTCAGGGCAGCCCACCTGTGGATGAGGGCCCCCACTGTGTGACCCCCACCCTCAGGGCGGCCCACCTGTGGATGAGGGCCCCTTGTCATGTGACCCTGACACCCCACCTTCCCAGGGCAGCCCACCTGTGGATGAGGGCCCCCCACCATGCGACCCCCCCCACCCTCCCAGGGTGGCCCACCTGTGGATGAGGGCCCCTGCCGCTTGACCGAACTGACTCATCCGGGTGGAGTCCTCCTCAGACAGGACCTCGGGGTGCAGTGAGAAAGAGTGGGGCCGTGGCAGCTCACACTTCTGCTTGTCTTCCCAGGACTTCAGGGTGCTCTCAAAAGCCTGCGGCAGAGCGTGGGGTCACACCCTGTCCACCACACAGAACAGGCGGCAGCACTGCCCACAGCAGAAGGGGGCCTTGACCTGCCTACAGGGCGTGCTGGCCGGGAGCGCACTCGGGAAGCAACCGTCCTACTGCTCTGCCGTCTGCGTGCGGTCAGCCCTGCTCTCCTCTCTGAGCACACCCCCAAGCACACCCCCAGCACGCCCTCCTGGTGAGGCCCGGCAGTGCTATCCAGACCTGGTTCAGAGCATCAAGGGGCACACCCGAGAGCCCAGGCCAGGCCGATGGGGTGTGAACTGCCCCAGCTGGACAGAGGTGCACCCTCACAGGGCAGGCGGGGCTGGGTCCAGCTCACCCCTCTCTGGGGTGGAGCCTTGAGGTGGCGTGCCCCCCCCCCGGCACAGCACCCCGTGTCGGCACCTGCCTCCATGCATCTGGGGCGCAGCACCCCCAGGGAGAAGCCCTGTGCCCCGAGGAGTCATTATTGGCCTTCAGGATTCATTTTTCTACCCAGTGGACACACCGAAGTTGCCCAAGCTCCAGGGGAGGCCAGCCGTCTGCCATCCTGCCCACCCCACCCCACCGGCTCTCATGCGGGGACCTTGGGGCACCCCCTCACCCTGTCCCTGGTGAGCGTCTGTGCCCGGTTCTTGTGGACAATCCGGATGTAGCCCGGGGGCTGGATCCAGGCCTCACCGTCCACCTGCACCGGGACGCCCTCCTCGCCCAGGATGGAGATCTTCACTGTGCGGCACTGCAGACACACCGGCCGTTACACACCGCTCACTTGAGGCCCCTCCAGAGTCCACCCTCAGGCCCTCTCCCCTCTCTGAGCCGGGGGACCCAGGATGTCAGGCAGTGTCCCTGCGCACAGGGGCCCGCTGGCACCACATAGCCCAGCACTGTTGTGTGTCCACCCCCAGAGGGCCCCTCACATGACACCAGGCAGTTACCTGTGCGATTCGGTGATGCTGCAGCTTAATGACTCGGGACACTGCCATTTGCATGCTGCCGAACACGGCCACCACCTCCAGGATCTTGTCATCGAAGGACGGGGCGGCGAATGTCTGCAAGGTGGACACCGGGCCTGATCACTGCCCAACACGGCCCTGGCCACTGGCCACTGCACCAGACAGCCCTGGGTACTAACCACTGCCTCGCACGGCCCTAGGTGCCAACCACGGCCCTGACCTCTGACCACGGCCCTGACCTCTGACCACGGCCCTGACCTCTGACCATGGCCCTGCATGGCCCTGACCTCTGACCACCGCCCCACAGGGCCCTGCGTGCTGACCACTGCCAGGCACGGCCCTGACCTCTGACCATTGCCCTGCACGGCCCTGACCTCTGACACTGCCCTGCACGGCCCTGACCTCTGACCACTGCCCCACACCGTCCTGTGTGCTGACCACTGCCCTGCACGGCCCTGACCTCTGACCACTGCCCCGCATGGTCCTGAAGGCTCTCACTACACCCTTTGCTCAGGGTGGAGGCCACCCCAGCGATCACCCCAACGTACGTCGTCTTCCTTGGTCCCTCCCCAGAAGTTGGTCCCTCCGGCGTAGCTGGGAATGTTGAGGACGGCAATCCCCTGAAGACTGGGGAGCGGGATGGGTCGTCCGTCACACTGCGGGGTGGGGGTGTGGGGAGAGACACACCACCTTGTCACTGGGTCCTTCTCCAGCAGAGGACGGGCGTACACGTGGGGGTTCAAGCACCCGGGCTGAGGGGGGCGTCTGTGGGAGAGCCTGCCCGAGGGAGCCCCGAGGGAGCGAGGGCTCTGCTCTCACCTCCAGCAGCACCTTCTGCTCCAGGTTCCTGTAGGTTCTGTGCAGCAGCTCCTTGGTCCCCAGGACCCCGTACCACATCATGTTCTTGGTCCGACTCCTGAAAGGCAAAGGTGCATGTTCTCGGCGACCTTCCAACAGTTAACCGTGCTGTCCCTGCAGCGTCTGAAGACATCGGACGACAGGAGGGGGCCATGATGCTGCGTGGCTCTGAGCTGCAGCAGCTGGGGTCGTGGGGGAGGGGACCCTCGCCTGCTCAAGCCAGCACCCTCCCAAAACCCAACCTCCCTGTCAAGCCCTCTCACAGCCCTCCCGAGCAGAGCTGCGCTGGGGACTCCAGGCTGGGAACTGCCGGAAACAGACTGCTCAGTCTCCTTTCCAGGGCCAGCTGGTGGGTTCAAACCACAGACCCTTCAGTTACCAGCCAAACACGTAATCAGCGCACCGGCAGGTGACTTACACACGTTGATTGGCAAATTTGCCAACTGTTGCTAAAAGGTTCATTTGAACAAGAAAGTAACAGCCCCTGAAATGAATGGTAAACGTCCCACTTTGGGGTTTTTTGGGGTTGGCAGCCCAACCCCCTATCCTAGGCCAGCTGCTGCAGTGAGGGGCCAGGGGGCAACCACGACACACAGGGACCCTCTGGACGGCGTTGTGCCACCCCCACCCTCTGACATCCCTGAGGCCACTGCTGCCGTCCCGGTGCCAAGCCGTCCTGCTGAGGGACGTCCTCCCTCTCGACGACACGGCCATCGTAAATGAGAAGTCTCATCATCCTGGCTCTAAGCGGCACCCTGGCTGCACTTTCTCCCGCACTGTCTGTCCACTCTTGGGCAGTTCATGCGGTATTCAGTGCTCTTCTCCAGCCTAACACACAGCCATCGGTTCTTCTATCATCCTTATTAGCCGTCCAACTTCCAGATGCCTAGCAAATAACCGAAATCATCACGGCTTGGCTCAGTCTTTAAACCGGCATCACTGATTATTAGCACTCTGAAGAGGTCCTTGACAGAGAGTCCCAACGCAACACATCTTCTGGGTTTCCTGTCTGTTGGTACCAAGGCTGTGAAGTGAGCTTCCAAGCTACTTGACCTCAATGACGATTTCTATCTATTCTCCATCTATCACGATGCTGACTGTTGGCCCAGTGTGAAGATTTTTGGTGGTGTGGTTTTATTTTAATATTGAGATGTCGTTCATATTGGTTGGGAGCAGGAGTGGCATCCACTTCCTCAACAACCTGCCTTCAGAAGCCCTGTGAACGTGGATAAATGTTGACAGTTGAAGAAGAGGGGCTTCAGGCCTTTTGTTCATAAGGTCACTTTGAGTCATGCTCGACTCAAAGGCAATCAACAACAACAAAAATTCATATGGAAGGCTGCAGCAAGTGTTTCAAGTCCTCCTCTTTTTATTTTTTACCAGCAGATAGTCCATTTATTAAAATAGTTGATTTAGGCATCTGCAGTGGTGACGTCAGCCTCTCCTCCAGGCTCGATGCTGATGGAGGGGATCTGCTTTGCAGTCTCAGAAGGACTATGCAAGTCAGTGAGTCGCTTGTGGATTCTCATCTGGGAACGATCCCAGGTCTTGGAACCTTTCCCACAAGGAGTCTTCCTTGTAGTGATTCTCAGAGTCTTGGGAGGCATCCTGACCAGTCCCTTCACCTTCAGGTTCTTCTCCTTTGCGCCTCTGATCAAGTCGGCACACACCTTCTCCAGGGATTTTACATTGCGGCTGGTTAGGGTAATCCTAATTCGGTGAATGGCCACCTCCAGTTCCACGGGCATCTTTCGGGTGTCCGTAAGAGCCGTGGCTGCGGCGCGGCTTCCTGACCGACTTGTTCCGCGGGGAGAGTGAACAGCGGTGAGTCAGGGGCGCGAGCGGGCGAACACCGCAGGCCAGCAAGCGTGACCTCGTCTTCCTCAGAGAGCAAGTCCTCCTTTACTTAAGTAAGCAAGTTTTTGTCCTCTCCATAATACAGACGGTTGGTGAGTCTTCCTCCAACCCTGATGCCACATTCTGATAAAGGCCAGCTTCTGGAATGATCTCAGCATACAAGTTGAACGGGCATAGAGAAAGGAGACAGCCTTGACACACCTTCCTTGATTTTAAGCCATGACCACAATCCCTTGCTCTAGTCAGACAATTTCTGTCTCTAGGCACAGGTTTTGTGTGAGCATAATGGTTCTGGGCCTCCCATTCTCAGTGTCAGCCGTAACTGGTTATAATACACACAGCCGAATGCCTTCCAGAGTCAGTAAAACACAAACAGGTCTTTTCTTTTTCTTCTTGTCTTTATAAGGACTTTTTGCTTTCTTCGTGGATGAGACCCTTCACCTCCTTCCACAAATCCGAATCTGGACGGTTTAGCGTTCAGTCCCTTGAATCTGTTCTGGAGACAGCTTTTCAGCTCAGGGGGGACAGACTCAAGACCCTGCTTTGGACCTTGGGGACTTATTTTCATTTTCTTCAGCTTCAATTTACACTTGCACATGAGCAACTGACGGTCTGCCTCCAGGCAGGACCTGCTGACTGCTGATATGAACAGCGCTTTAACACTCTGCATATTAGGGACTGAATTATAGCCCCCTAAACATCTACGTGTTCTAAACCCTAACCTCTAGACCCGTGGTTATCCTTCCATTTGAGAACGGGTCATCTTCGTTTTGTTAATGAGGCAGGATTAGCGCAGGATGTGTTTCAAATCAAACTCTCCTGATACAGCAGAGGGAAGATACAGTAAAGCAGATGCCAGCACCCAAGGCGAGGCCAGGGAGCCGAGGGGCAGAAGCTGAGGCGACGATGACCTTCGCAGAGCCAGCGAGGGCCCTCCGGCCTCCCGCACTGTGAGAGGGCAGGTCTCTCTTGTGGGATTTCTGTGAGAACAACACTGGACACGACGATGGTGCTTTCCATCAAAGCCCAGACGGGCAAGCTCACAGAGACGCCCGGACTCTCACCACCATGAGCTCCTGCGAGGACCTCGTCGCCACACCAGGTGGCCCAGCGGCTCCGCTCGGTGCCTCACCCTCTGTCGCTCTTTGTCACGGACAGTTCTCCTCGGCCTGGCGTTCACTGCCTCCAGGTAGTCCTGACGGGATTCAGGTCACCCCGCTCTGAGCGCTCACAAGCTCTTCAGGGGCGAGGTGTCCGCATCTCCTCTTCACTCACCTGCCCAATCACTTTAGGACAGACCCTGAGAGAAAGATTTCTAAGTAGACCATCCCTCAGGTCTTCAGCCAGACGCGGGAAGGCCCTGGCAGGTTCCAGTCTCTCCGGCAGACACCCCGGCTGGACTCGGCTGCGTCGGATGCCTCACCCCCGTTTCTCCAGGGGCAGGGGTGTCTGAACACGCGGCGCTTCCGTGCTGTGTCACAGAGCAGCTCCTGGGACCTCACGACCACTTCCTAAACGAAAGAGTCCTGGAATTCAAGGACTTTGAGTCCTTATGCTTGGTTTTCAGTTTTTCTAGCAGTTTCCAACTGCAGAGGCCTCTAGCACTCTCTGAGTGACCCCTGAGGAGCTCCTCCCCAGACACTCCTCAGGACTTCCCGTAAGTGACGGTGACCACGAGTTCCAGGCAGAAGCCAGCAGCTGACCCGAGATGCAGAAAGGCTGACAGGAGGATGGCTGGGTGGCCAGCCAGGGGTACTTCCACTGCTTGCACACCCGGCGTCCTGCAAGTCCTCCTGTGACACGGTCACAGCCCACAGTCTCCTTCCCCTCACCGGCCTGCGGGTGGCATGGTGGACAGTGCACACCCTGTGTCCTGCGAGTCCTCCTGTAAGATCACAGCCCACAGCCTCCTTCCCCACACCGGCCTGCGGGTGGCATGGTGGACATTGCACACCTGGCATCCTGCGAGTTCTCCTGTGATGTCACAGCCTCCTTCCCCACACCAGTCTGTGGGTGGCATGGGTGGACATTCGACCTGATGTTTCCACGAGGGGAGGAGAGCTCTACCCCAGCTCAGAAGGGAGGAAACTTTCCTTTTCTGGCTTCTCGTCGGGCCTGGGGAAGCCAGCATCTGATAACTGCGGAACGGAGACCGGATGTCCTCAGCAGCGACCCCTGGAGGCTGGTCTCCCCAGAGGTGGGCTCTGGCCGGCTGGAGTGACAGTGACCAGGAAGGCTGTCTGTGTAGGTGACCACGACAGCGGCTCCTCACAGCGCTGGTCCAGGTATTACTGCAGGATCTTTGTCAGGTTTCGGTTACCAATCAAGTGCTTAACCGCTGTGCCACTAGGACTCCTTCTATGGTGGATGAACCCCAAAGCACGCACCTGAGTGGCCGCTCAGCGGGTCCTGACGCCCTAGCTGGTTAAGTGAGCAGCTCACCGCAGTGACAACAGCGCTGGCTGGCTGCCACCTGAGACGGTCACCACCCGGCCACCCCACGGTGGGAGCCCCGCCCACGCCAGCGTCCTGCCCGCTCATCCCAGCTCCCCCGCAGCCTCCATCCAGGTACAGTCTCCACAAAGCGCCTTCTGGTCGGCCAGGGCTCCCCGTCCCCTTCAGCACCTACCTGCACTTCTCTGGGTGTTCGTCACGCTTGTTGTTGAAGTCCAGGGAGATCTTGGCATCCAGGCCGATGCCGAAGTAGTTGTTCATGACACACTTCTCGGTGTAATACTCTCTGCAAAGCCAGGGTCGAGTCTGCTATCCAGTCTGTCACAGCCAGCTGTCATCAGCAACCTCACCCCGGCCTCCCAAGCTCTAAGCAGTTCTTTCTCAGGACATACCTCGTCTTTGTTTTAAAAGAGGGAAGGGTTAACAGTTTACTGAGATACCATTCACATATACAATCCACCCCCGGATAATTAATTGTGAATCATAATTTTATATACTTATGAATAAGTTAATAATTCAGTGTATTTAGTGTATCCTGAGTCATGCAACCACTGTCAGTGTCAGTGTGGATGAAATACGTCCACACACTCTCCACTCTCCACTCCTTCTACCTCTGCCACCCTTTAATCCACTTCCCATCTCTGTGTGTTTGCCTGTTCTGGATATCTCAAAACAAAATCACACGTGTGGCTTTTTCTACACGGCATGTTTTCAAAGGGTATCCGTGTTATACCATGTATCACTAGTACCCTACTCTTTCCTTACGGGCTGATGTGTGGGATTACCACACGGCTGTCCGCTCACCAGCTGTTGAGCATCGGAGCTGCTTCCATTCTTGAGCTATCTATCTTGTTACTGCTGTGAGCACCTGTGTCTGCATTTCATTTTTATTATTATTATTATTATATTTTGTGTGTGTACCGTCAAACTGGATCTGACTGGTACAGGAGAAGACTGCCCCTCCTTCTCCAGCGGAGCATCTGGTGGATTCGAACCGTGTATGTGCATTTCCATGCAAACACGTGTCTCAGTTCCCATGGGGGAATATATGCAGGAGCTGACCTGCTGGGCCATGTGGATGTAGAAGGGGGGATCTCGGTGTTGATAAAGACGGCTCATGATTTAGAGAGTTTCTGAAAGACACTTACTCAGGATTTACTGACTACGCAAAGGCATTCAATTGTGTGGATCATAACAAATTATGAACAAAACTGAGAAGAATGGAAATTCCAGAGCCCTTCACTGCACTCATGCAGGAGACCAAGCAGCAGTCATGGGAACAGAACAAGGGGCTCCTGCCTGCTGTAACATCAGAAAAGGTGTGCATCAGGGTACAAACTTGTCTACACGCCGAGTACGCACTATACAAGGAGGGGCTGCCGTCTATGAAGAGCTTCAGGATCAGAGGAAGATTTGCTAATAACTTGTGACATAACCTTGCTCGCTCCAAGTTAGGAAGTCTTGAGGCACTTACTGATGCGGTCAAGGATCACAGACCGCCATGCGGATTGCAGCTCAACACAAAGAGGGCAAGAATATGCACAACCAGACACAACGCCTCGAGAAATGAAGTCAAGGTTTCGTTTTACTGACTCTCCAAACACCCGGGGAAGCAGCAGTCAAGAAACCTAATCGGCAGGTTTGTTGCAGAACTTTCCCTCTGACGTGTTGAAAAGCAAAGGCAGCACTCTGAGGACTGAGGTGCTCCTGACCCAGCCCACAGGATTTTCCATTGGCTCCACACATGGGAAAGCTGGACAATGAACAAGGAGCGGAAGAACTGGGACATGTGAATGGTGAAGACGAAGAAGAATGCAGGATACACGTGGACCGTCAGAATAAGGAATAAATCCGTCTCGAAGGAGTAGTCAAAATGCTCCTCCGACGTGAGGATGCTGGATTCTACTTCACGCACTTTGAACACAGGATCAGAACTGATACGGGGCAGAAACAAGGGGTCAAAGGCCAGGGAACCGCTGAGAGCGCGCACTGCCCCAGGCAGGGCTTCGGGCTGCTGTACACGGGTCACTGTGTGCTGGAACCGACTTCAGTGGCACCTCCGACCTGACCAACCTTTCAGGGAACCTGCCAGGCTGTCTTCCTGGGAGGTGCACTATTTTTCGCTGCCACCAGTAGGAGCAAATTACTGGCTTTGGGCAGTAAATGCATACGTGTTTGAGCTTCCCAAGCATTCCTAGACTTGATCAACAGCCTCCACACGAAAAGGAAAGTGACCGGAGGACATCCTTAGCTGCCCAGCCTGTGGGCACTAACCTCCCTGCTGGTCCCCTACAGCTTGAAACAGTCAAGGGAAAAGTCAAAAACAAGCCGCCGGCACCCAAGCCGATTCCAACACTGAGGGACTGTGCCGGGCGGAGGACTGCCCGCGGCCTCCAGGGCTGCGATTCCAGGGAGCGGGCAGCAGGACAGCATGCGTGCGCACCCACCTCTGGTGAGCCGCTAAGTGCTTTTATCACGGTGCCACCAGGGCTCATCAGCCAAGAGGAAGAAAACAGCTAGAAAGCTTCTCACACACCCTGTGTAGCCTCGGCACGGTCTACATTCACAGGACAGACCCCACAAGCCTCCTGCACGGACGTCCTCGAGACCTGGAAACTGAGGGGAGGGGAGGTCACCCCCCAAAGGGCTGCACCCGACACAGAGATGAGCGGCAAGAGTCAGAGTCTCCCGAAGGTCAAACACAGGCCGTCCACGGCCCTGGCCACCAGCAAGAGGGAAAAGCCAAGAAGAAGCCACCTGCAGACGGGAGAAGGCTATCTAAAAGAGTCAGCGAGCGGTCTGCCGGTGAGTGACCATCTGGAGGCCACAGTGAAGGTGGACAGCTGGCTTCTGAATCTGCAAAAGGCGTCCAGATGTTCTGTATCTTCAGGGGAAACTGAGGAACGAGCCACATGAGGACGCAGCCCGTTTACTCCGCCCACCACAGGACCAAACGGTTCGGCAGGAAGGCCAGTGACCAGCACGCCAAGGCCAGAGCGTGAAACCCCATGGGCAGTTCCACCAGGCCGAGGAGTCCGTCGGAGAGATCTGGCTTAGGCAGCGTGGGGTAGGCAGACGTCCCAATGCCAAGGCTTCCTCCCCAGCTTACACTACATGGAGAAGGAACAACTGCTCAAATCCCCCCTCATTCCTCCAGCTAATCCTGGAACCTGTTCTCTGGGCTCCCCATTTTCTCACAGAGGCCCAGGGTCTCCCCGATACTCACAGGTTTTCTGGCTCAGAGTTGAAGGGGTCCGCATTGATCAGGAGTCGACTGATGACAGAACCTCCCGGCAATGAACCAGACATCCCAGCTCGAACATCTGGACGGGAGACACGAGGCAACACACTGGCCCGGGGGATTCCGAAAATCTACTGGTTTTCAGGCTGACCAGTATGTATTCGTCAGAGCAGTAATAGAATTGTGAATTTTTAAAATCCTACACAAACAGGTCCAAATTTGAAAGGTCAATAGCTTTACGTCAACGGGGGCCATCCTTAACCTGCCCACGTTGACTGACTCAGAATAAACCTACGGGCAGCAGAAACGAACACCAAAGAGGAGGCCTGTTAGAATGGCTGACACGACAGCTCCCAGTCAGACACTCCTGATAAACTCCCTCACCGTGAAGACAGCCCAGGTCACCAGAACTCTCAAGCTGCACACATCAGTCTGAAATGCTTAACGCTTGAAGCAGAGAGAGCCCTGCTCTGGAACATTCTGCCCATACCCCGTTCCAGGACTCTGTCACGGATCACATCCACCAAAGCTTCCTGTGAATGCCAGGTCCCAAGAGCTCGGGGATTTCCTTCCTAGTGAGCTGAGATTCAATCTAGAAATGGGCAGACTGCGTCCAGAGGGCAGAGGGCTGTGCGTGCGTGTGTGCGTGTGCGGGGCCTGGTGTGCCGTCCATGGACAGACACCCTGGGCACCTCAGAGGCCTGTGTGAGCGGAGCTTTCCAGCAGCATGAACAGCGAACACCCCAGCGCCCCTTCAGAGGACACAGCATCCACTCCCCAGGCCAGGGCAGGTATGCAGCTGTGGGTCTGCTCTTTGTATCAGGCACATGCGAGCTGAGTCTGCCTCTGCTTCCCGCAGGCCTCCGGGATCTCTCAGACCTCCAAGTGCTGGGAGAGCAGCAGGGATTTGCTAGCCGTGGCACTCCCCACACTGACTCCTCTGTGGCCACGCGGACAGTGCTGTCCCCTCTGGCCCCGGGCAGGAGACGCAGGCACTCACGTGGATACAGGATCTTTGTGTTCAGGGCTGGCAGGGTGTCCCGACTTCCGGCCTGAGGAGGGAGAGACGCTGAGCTACCTAGGGACAGGCTTCCTTTGGACATCAGCTTCTCACATGGGGACTTGCACACTGAAAGCAGGAAAGTGTACGGTCACTCAAGACAGAGCATCACTGGAGGCCTGGGAAGCAGGGACAGTGGAATGAGCGGAAGGGCTGGGCTTGGGGGACAGAGAGCTTCCACTGTCGGGCACCAAGAGAGGCACAGAGGCCAAGGAAAGGGCTGGTGTGCACAGTGGGGGTGAGGCGGGTGCTGGCCAGGCTGCATGGAGAGGGCACTGCCCTCAGCACAGAGGACAGAGGCATCAGTCAACATCAGTGTGGGTGCAGGGTGTGGGGGTATAGGGTATGGGGTGTAGGATGTGGGGGTGCAGGGTGTAGGGGTGCAGGGTGTGGGGGTATAGGGTGTGGTGTGTAGGATGTGGGGGTGCAGGGTGTGGGGGTGCAGGAGTGCCGGATGTGGGGGTGTATGATGTGGGGTGCAGGGTGTGGGGGTGCAGGAGCAGGGCCCCCTCCACAGGTCAGGGGCAGGGTGGGTCAGTGCCAGGAGGAAACCCATCAGGAGTTCATCACTGAGGAAGGCTCAGGGGCACCCAGGTCTCCTAGGAGAGCATGTGGGGACACGAGGGAGGCTGAGGAGAGGAAGGGGGACCCTAAGGAAACCATGAGGAGGTTGTGGGCTCTGAGGCGAGCACACCGGGAACACAAGGGCCCACTGAGGAGAGCAGGCTGAGAACAGGAGGAGGGCCTGAGGGTGTGCTGAGGACAAGAGGGGGAGCCGGGGCAGAGGACAGAGGGACACAGCTTGTGGCTCTGAGGAGCAACCTGAGGGGCCATGAAAGGTACTGAAGAGACCACGGGGGGCCCAGAGCAGGTACTAAGGAGAACACACAGGGCCACGGGGTGCTCTCAGACGATGACACGGGGACGGGGGGTGGTCTGAGGGGAGGACACGGGGACGGGGGTGGTCTGAGAGGAGGACACGGGGACGGGGGTGGTCTGAGGGGAGGACACGGGG